TGCAGCCCATTATCTTCCCGAAATAAAACAGTGGGGGAAAGTTGGGGAAACTAAAAAACCAAAAATCCTCCTCAGCTTCAGTAACGAACAGTTCCTTAGTTTTACACTGTTATAAGAAAAAAACTGCTCCCTTTTGCTTATGGGGTATCCAAGAGTCCATACAGAGTTCTTATGTAGGTTCTCTATCAATAGGAGAAAATAACAGAGGCCAGCGAGAGAATACTGAGAAGCAAAGCAGCTAGTAAGCCTGATCTTTATTAAACTGTTGCAATAGGGTGCTCACACCCCCACACAGGAGGAAGGAGGAACCCAGAACATTGGTGTGCAAACCTTTATATAGACTTTTGAAATTGCCCACCTTGTAGCTCAAGTAAAGGTAAAGGACCCCTGACCATTAGGTCCAGTCGTGGCCGACTCTAGGGTTGCGGTGCTCATCTCGCTTTATTGGCCGAGGGAGCCGGCGTACAGCTTCCGGGTCATGTGGCCAGCATGACTAAGCCGCTTCTGGTGAACCAGAGCAGCGCACGGAAACGCCGTTTACCTTCCCGCCGGAGTGGGACCTATTTATCTACTTGCACTTTGACGTGCTTTTGAACTGCTAGGTTGGCAGGAGCTGGGACTGAGCAACGGAAGCTCACTCTGTTGCGGGGATTCGAACCACCGACCTTCTGATCAGCAAGTCCTACCTAGGCTCTGTGGTTTAACCCACAGCACCACCCGCGTCCCTTTGTAGCTCAAGACCACCCTCCAAAACATCATACATACATCACAGAAAGAGGTGGTCTCCAGCAGAAATTTGAGTGTGCTGCTTCTCTCCTGTCTGCCAGGATACCTGATAATGCCTTATCTGCCTTTTTGGGTAGCCTGGCCATTCCTTAGAGATGGTAGATCCTTAGTTCTTGAATCTCTTACGCATATTGATACTTAACAGATACTTAACAGATACTTGCCAGGCTGTATTTGAAAAGGGAGGTGTAAGCAGCCCCTACAGTGAAAGGCCATTGAAAAGCTTTCCCCATTTCCTTCCTTCTTGCAGAGAAATATCTGAGGTCCATTTGGGAGAGCCAAAATGGCTTCAGGATTGTTCTTCTGTACTATTTCAGACAGGCAGGTTATAGACTTATGTACGTGTTTGCCTTGTACATTTATGAACATTTATTTTTTATATATAAGACCTTAGAATTCCTGTAACAGAGGGCTTGAGAAATGGGGTAACCCCCAGTCTCGTGCGTCCTGTAATGGACCCCCAGGCTAAGTGGCTTCTACCGGGGAGCCGCAAAAAGAAAGTGGTTGGTTAAGGGAGCTACGGACTCAAAAAGGTTGAACACCCCTGGCTTACACCTATGTTTTAAGATCAGCAAGGAGCAGCTTGTGTGCCTGTCTTGAAGAGCTGGTGGTCCCAAGATAGAGGACATCTTCAGGGCTGTCTCCTACACAATGACATTTTCTTCGGAGAAAGGAATGACGGGCTCCTGTAGTCCAGGTTTTGAGGGACAGGTTTTTATTTTCAACTCTCATCTGTTTCCCTTAACTTTTAATGGAAAGGTTCCATTGTAAAAAGCTGCTGCTTCTCTGGTGTATGTTGTGTTTTAGTGTATTGGGCATATTTGAATTGGCTGTGTTTATTGTGATTTCATTTAAAACATCAACAACGTATAATTGGAATCTTACGTTTGTTTAAAGTTAAGATGTTTCGAAAGGCAGCTGAAAATGCCTGAAATGAATGAGGAAATAAATCGTCCGGCTGTTGGCACCTCCATGTTTGCTCTGGGGAAGAAGGGCTGTGGATCTGTTTTGCGCACAGAACGCCAAAGGTTCTGCAGGGAAAAGCTCCTGTCTGAAACCCCTCGAGAGCCACAAGACTACCTCACAGGATTGTTGTGGGGATTAAAACTGGGGAGGAGGGAAAAACCATGCATGCCCCCTTGGAGGAAAAGGTGGAACATAAACGCAATAAATAAGTAAGTCAGCTTCCTGTGTCAGGACCTCACAGGGCTGCACTGCACAAGGAAGAATATTTCATTTATTTATTGCATTTGGTTTTTTTAAAAAATTATCCATCTTAGTAAATTATCATTATCTTTCTCTTTTCTTTATAATTTTTTTATTAGTTTTTCAACATATCATTTTCAACAATAACTAAACATACTTTTACATCTTACGCAATTTTTTTGACACATCTGAAAATTTTCCAATCTGTTTACTTAATTTACGTTTCTTATTTTCACTATTACATTTAAGTCTCATCACTAATATCTCTCTTCTTTCTCTTCTTTGCAATATTTCATATATTCCTCCTTACAAAACTTCTTGTAGCCCTGCTAGCGTAATTTGTTGATTACAGTTGCTCTTCAAATAATTCGTATATTTCTTACAATCTTCTGTAAATCTCGTCCCGCAGGTTTTGAATATTTATTGCATTTGTACCTCACTTTTCCCCCAAGGGCGTACAGGGTTCTCTTCATTTAATCCCCACAGCAACCCTGTGGAGTAGGCCTGTCTGAGATGCTGTGGGTGGCTTCAAGGTCCCCCAGGGAGTCTCATGGATGAGCAGAGGTCTGTACCCTGGGCTCTCCCAGGTCTTAGTCTGACTCTCTAACCACTGCACCACCTAGCCATCCTATGTGATGCTGCAGATATTTTGGAGCTGCCCCCTTCAGGAGTCATAGGGATGAATTGTGGCACCTGTGCACATTTTGCAACCCGGGTGAAATTTCTCAAGCTCTTGGCCCCTCCTGGCCAAGCACCACGGAAATCCAGCTGGGGGACGACAACGTAATATCTCTCTTGGAATAATGCAGCTGTTTCCTAAAGCTGATGATCCATTTTGACAAGACGCAGATACATGGGGAATAGCCCTGGGCAGTCTTCCATGGATGCGAGCTTTTATTCTTTTGTTTTTTCCTTTAAAAACCCATCTGAACTGGTGTCTTGAAAGTTTAAAAGGGGGTGGGGGTGGCAAATAAAAGCAGGATTCTTGTGGCTGCGTTTGCTGGGGCCTGATCCGGAGGGACCCTTGATGGAAGCTTCTCAGCTGGGGAATGCGTTGGCTTTTAAGGCTCTCTCTCTCTCTCTCTTTCTGCAAGGCTGGCAGCTTGTCTCCTGTGCTCTTCTGAGTCTGCCGGCCTCCGGGACGGTTGCCAGAGGGCATTTATCTCCTGAGTGTTTTCGGGAGGGTGGGCTGATGTGTGCTGGTTGCTGGCAATTGTTCATTTTAATTTCTCTAATGGACCTGGATCTTGCAGAGACGGCCGCGGTATAAATAAATCACGAGCGGGAGGATGAGGAGAGAGTCAATGGCCAGGAGTGGGGAGGCTCCCATTAGGCCCCATTTAGCTGGCGAGGCTGTCCTGCTGCCAAAGCAAGGCTGGGCTTTTCCTGCGTCTTCGTAAACACAGGGGTGACTTGCTGAGGAGCAGGAGGACTTGCTTCCACAGCAGCCTGCAGCTTTGTATATTTCGTGGAATTAAAAAGTGCCAAGGGGTTCCAAGGGTCATCCAGTCTAGCCCCCTGAAATACAGTCATACCTTGGGTTACAGACGCTGCAGGTTGTGCGTTTTCGGGTTGCACACCATCCCGAACCCGGAAGTACCGGAACAGCTTACTTCCGGGTTTTCTGTGCTCGCACATGCACAGAAATGCTAAATAGCGCTTTGCACATGCGCAGAAGCACCAAATCGCGGACAGCACATGTGCAGATGCGGCGCTGTGGGTTGCAAACGTGCCTACCGCATGGATCACGTTTGCAACCCGAGTGTCCACTGTACAGGAATCCTAGCTGAAGAATCCCCGACAGGTGACCATCTAACCTTCGAAACCTCTAGCGAAAGAGAGTCCACCACCTTCTGAGGGAGTCTGTTCCACTATTGATTGGCTCTTGCCACCAGAAAATTCTTTCTGATGCCTGATTCTTAGTTAGAATCTCCTTTCTCACCACTGGAATTCATTGTTTTGGGTCCTCCTCTCCAGGGCAGCAGAAAACAAGCTAGCTCCATCTTCCAGGCCTTCCAATACAGTGGTACCTCGGGTTAAGAACTTAATTTGTTCTTAACCTGAAGCTGTTCTTAACCTGAAGCAACAATTTAGCTAATGGGGCCTCCCGCTGCCGCCGCGCGATTTCTGTTCTCATCCTGAAGCAAAGTTCTTAACCAGAGGTACTACTTCCGGCTTAGCGGAGTCTGTAACCTGAAGCGTCTGTAACTTGAGGTACCACTGTATTTGAAAATGGCTCTCATACCCCTTCTCTGGTGACAAATGAGCCATTGGCTGGAGTCACTTGGGGGCTCTTATTTTCTTCTCAGTGTTCCTTTAAATAATGATACAGTGGTACCTCGGGTTACATACGCTTCAGGTTACAGACTCCGCTAACCCAGAAATAATGCTTCAGGTTAAGAACTTTGCTTCAGGATGAGAACAGAAATCGTGCTCCAGCGGCACGGCAGCAGCAGGAGGCCCCATTAGCTAAAGTGGTGCTTCAGGTTAAGAACAGTTTCAGGTTAAGAACGGACCTCCGGAACGAATTAAGTACTTAACCCGAGGTACCACTGTATTATTTATTTATTTACTTACTTACTTACTTACTTACTTAGTTACTTACACCCTGTCCATCTGGCTGGGTTTCCCCAGCCACTCTGCGCGAAACCCAGTGGACCCAGCAGCCCTTCGAACAGAGGACTGTCCTTTTCCAAGTAGGACACATGGCCACCTTGGGTAGCCTTCATGGACACAACGGGACAGGATTGAGATGGCAAAGGAACAGGTTCATTTAATTCTCCCCACCTAAAAGAGAGTCTTGTTCCTTTATCTACCCAACCCATCCCTAGGCCCTGCAGACACAATCTTATCAGGAGGCCCTTTCAACAGAAGCAGGCCTTTGGCGTTAACCTTTGGAACTCCCTGCCTTTACTCCGACTCCCTGTTGGTGTCTGTCATAGAACGTAGCATTGGAAGAGGGACCACGAGCTTCATCTATTCCAACTCCCTGCACTGCAGGATTCCTTTGCCCAACGTGGGGCTCTAACCCGTAGCCCTGAGATCGAGTCTCATGCTCTACCGACTGAGCTATCCCAGAGATTAAGTTGGAGACTTTCCTCTTTCCACAAGCCTTCCAAGCAGAGATGTTCACCCCAGCTTGCTTTTCATATATTGTCATTTTATTTATTTTTTACTGTTTCTGTATATGCAACAGTTTTATGTTTGTTTTTATTGTATTGTGAAATTACTTTGAGATGCTTCGTAGGAAACGATCCGTAAATGAAACGATAATCCTTCTTGCTTCTGGGTGTGGGGCATAAATGCTGAGAAAGGTCAAGGGCAGGTAGCGATCAGGCAGAAACCTCACACAAACACCCTCTGACGTTCTGCAGTCTTCTGGTGTGTTGGAGTTTGAGTTCTTCAGTGTTTTTCTTTTCACAGCACCATGCCTTTGATTATTACTATGCTTCTCGGCTACATATTTTTCCTTTAGAATTAAGTACGTATACTGCTCCAGCCCCCCTGGAACTAATAAAACAACTTGCATATCCCTGAAAGCGATGAGAGTTGAGCTGGAGTGCTAAACAGACTTGAGCAAGTCCTATTGATTTGCTTCTGAGTAGACCCGCGCCAACCCGGTTCTCCGTAAATCTGAGTTCGATGTGGGTTTCCACTGGTAAAAGTTTTAAGTGTAGTAGAAAGGACTGCAGTCTGGCTTTGGCCGGATCGAAGCGATAAATATTCATTACCATATAGATCAGCTTAATTGAGTTACGGAGGACGAACTCTTGCTCTGCAGGCTTACAGTCTAGCAAACAAGATGATTAGGGAAAGGACAGATGAGGACGGCCTCACACGTTCAGTCTGGGGAAAGTTGGGAAAGTGCGGCTCAATTTGCTCAAACGCTCTTTCTTCCTGGGTCAGTGGAGCTTAAGAACGTGGAAAGTGTGTCGTGGGTTTGTTGGGCTCAGGGGCGTGCGAAGGGGGACGTGGGGGTGTCTCCCTGATGGAGGGGGCAAAATGGCGGGTGGCACTCGTCACCGTGGGGCCTGCAGCGTGCATGAGCCATGCGTCTTGGTGCCCGCAGGCTCTGCACTGTTCACCTGCTGCCTCCCCCCAGCTGTAGGGTGGCTGAGGCCCCGCTGCGCGCCTGTCCCTATGGGCGCGCGCCACCCATAGGGATGGCATGGGGCGTGCGGCGTTCATAGGGATGGGGCGTGCCGCGGTGTCCATAAGGATGGCACGGGATGCTGCGTGTCCTGTTCCCTCTCTGGGCAGCGTGCGCCTGCTTCTATGGGTGGTTTGCCCCACCCCTATGGGCCGCCCCAAGTGCCTGAGAGCCTTCCGCCGCCGCTGGTTGGGCACAGAGGAATGGCAAGGGGAACTGGCTGGGCAACCACCAAGAGGAGAAGGCTCAGAGCCCGGGAAGTGGTGACAATGAATTGCTAGTGCGAGAAGACCGGGTAGAATATAGATGGTACAGAGAAATTCAAGATAAAATCTGTAGTTTGGGCATTGCTCTCGAGAGCCTTGAAGCATGTGACGGAAGTTACATATTCCAAACAATCAAGCAGCAGCTTTATGACCATGAAAGGCAGTGCTTGTTACCTCATACTCCGAGATCCTGTTCTCTGGAGGCCTTAGGTATTACAACACCTTACGGAACCTGTAGAGGGACGCGGGTGGCGCTGTGGGTTAAACCACAGAGCCTAGGACTTGTCAATCGGAAGGTCGGTGGTTCGAATCCCCATGACGGGTGAGCTCCTGCCCACCTAGCAGTTCAAAAGTATGTCAAAGTGCAAGTAGATAGATAGGTACTGCTCTGGTGGGAAGGTAAATGGTGTTTCCATGCACTGCTCTGGTTCGCCAGAAGTGGCTTAGTCATGGTGGCCACATGACCCGGAAGCTGTACACCGGCTCCCTCGGCCAATAAAGCGAGATGAGCGCCACAACCCCAGAGTCGGCCATGACTGGACCTAATGGTCAGGGGTCCCTTTACCTTTTTACGGAACCTGTGCCAAATATCCAAAGGATCCATTACTCCCTTCCCATCGAAGAGCCTTTACGCTCACAAGATTAAATGCCTTCCCCTCTGCAGTGACCAAAGGCAGGTTCTCACATACCCCATATCAAGCCCATTTGTGTGCCTACAGCCAAGAAGTACCTGATTCAATGGACCACGTTCTCTTAGATTGCTCTCTACACAGTAGACCTCGCCAACTGATGCTGAGCAAAATGTTGGACCTATAACTCCGAGAAGAAGTCAAGTGAGGTTTCTCCTGGCAGATTGGGACCAAGAGATCACTGCTTTTGTAGCTTCCTTTTTAGCCACAATTTTACTCAAAAGGGTTCCCAACGAACCATCCTTTCGGGGAACAGACAGGGCAAAGCAGAATATCTAAGTGCACACAATCACAGTGTGACCATATGACCCTTGACAGCTTCACCCTTGTCCTTTTAATTATTCCAGTGACCTGAAATGTATTATACTGTGATACCAGTAAAGGTATTTGATTTGATTTGATTTGATTTGACTGGGAAGAGGTGTCAGTAGCCGAAGAGGCAATAGGGCTTTGTCAGTGGGAAGAGTCTGTGGCAGAGAGCAGTCTAGAATCAGAGGCAGAAGCAGGAGAGGACGGGGGCCAAAAGGCAGAAATGAGTCAGGTTAGTGAAGAGGCACGTGTGTTTCCCATTCCTGGTGTGACAAACTCCCTCTGCCCTGACTCACAGAACCAGGAGAGGGATGACACGGGAGGAGCAAAGACAGGCTGCACGTGGGCAGAGTCTCTGATTGCTTGCAAGAAACCCTAGAGAGGAGGAGACACAGACAGCTGTAGGGAAGTGGGGACGTTTAGTCTGGGCCTGAAATTTGGCCAAGTCTGCGAATATCATGTTTTGCTAAGGAGGAGTTAACTCCAGCTGTGAACTGTGTCATTTATTGAGTGGCCTGCTGGATCAGGCCAATAGCCAATCTAGCCCAGCATCTAGTTCCTCTTCATCCAATGGTTCCTCTTCATCCTGGAGAAGAGTGACTAGTGGGGTGCCACAGGGTTCTGTCTTGGGCCCGGTCTTATTCAACATCTTTATCAATGACTTGGATGATGGACTCAAGGGCATCCTGATCAAATTTGCAGATGACACCAAACTGGGAGGGGTGGCTAACACCCCAGAGGACTGGATCACACTTCAAAACGACCTTGACAGATTAGAGAACTGGGCCAAAACAAACAAGATGAATTTTAACAGGGAGAAATGTAAAGTATTGCACTTGGGCAAAAAAATGAGAGGCACAAATACAAGATGGGGGACACCTGGCTTGAGAGCAGTACATGTGAAAAGGATCTAGGAGTCTTGGTTGACCACAAACTTGACATGAGCCAACAGTGTGACGCGGCAGCTAAAAAAGCCAATGCAATTCTGGGCTGCATCAATAGGAGTATAGCATCTAGATCAAGGGAAGTAATAGTGCCACTGTATTCTGCTCTGGTCAGACCTCACCTGGAGTACTGTGTCCAGTTCTGGGCACCACAGTTCAAGAAGGACACTGAGAAACTGGAACGTGTCCAGAGGAGGGCAACCAAAATGGTCAAAGGCCTGGAAACGATGCCTTATGAGGAACGGCTAAGGGAGCTGGGCATGTTTAGCCTGGAGAAGAGGAGGTTAAGGGGTGATATGATAGCCATGTTCAAATATAGAAAAGGATGTCACATAGAGGAGGGAGAAAGGTTGTTTTCTGCTGCTCCAGAGAAGCGGACACGGAGCAATGGATCCAAACTACAAGAAAGAAGATTCCACCTAAACATTAGGAAGAACTTCCTGACAGTAAGAGCTGTTCGACAGTGGAATTTGCTGCCAAGGAGTGTGGTGGAGTCTCCTCCTTTGGAGGTCTTTAAGCAGAGACTTGACAACCATATGTCAGGAGTGCTCTGATGGTGTTTCCTGCTTGGCAGGGGGTTGGACTCGATGGCCCTTGTGGTCTCTTCCAACTCTATGATTCTATGATCTTGTTCTCACAGTGGCTGACCTGTGGGAAGCAGGATTTGAGCACAAGAGCCCTCCAGTGGTCTTCAGCAACAGAAATTCAGAAGCGCTGTTGCCTCCAGTTGTGGAGGCAGAGCCGAACCATTGTGGCTAGTAGCCATTGACAGCCACCTCAATGGTTTTGTCCAATCCTCTTTTAAAGCCATCTAGGCTGGTGGTCACCCACGCACATTACGTAACGGGCAGTGTCGTATAGTGGTTAGAGTGTCAGACGAGGACCCGGGGGGCACGGGTTCAAATGTGAACTCAGTTGTGAAGCTCCCTGGATGTCACCTTGGCCCCAGTCATGGCCTCTCAGCTCAACCTACCTCACAGGCTGTGGGGAAGAATAGGAGGGAGGAGGCTGCAAAGGGGGAGCAGCAGGAGCTCTGGGGTCTGGAGAGGAGAAAGGGGCCGCAGCCAACTGCCTAACAGGGATGTCAACAGGGAAACCTGGCTCAGTCTCCCCTGGAATGACAAGGAAGGAAGCAGAGGTTGCCAGCGGGTGCGAAAAGCGCCGTACTTAGTGTGCTTCTCCAATAAAACTTGACAAGTGGAGTCAGTGCAAAATGCTTTGCTTTTTTTTCTCCTTCCCCTGGAACAAACCGCAGCAAAATTGTTTCCAACAACTCTGCGCTGTCAGTCACCCAACTTGGTGAGAGACTTTTCTGCCACGTAACTGCTCTGTAAGGAGCCCATCTAAAGAAGGGAGCGATTTGAGGTAATGGGCAAGGGGGGTTTGTGTGCTTCCAAGAGCTCCGGCCAGAAGGCTGCTCGCGCTCTGGGCCTGATGCTTAATGACAGGGAAGCTGAGAGCGCCAAACGCTCGCAACTGGACTTGGCAGCAAGGCAGCGGTCGCCTTGGACGCTCTGTGGATTCTCGGTTTACACCACAAGAGCATGGAGCCTGCGGAGGCTCCCTCCCTTCTGGCTCTCATGAGAACAGAAGAGGAGGATGCTGGATCAGGCCCATGGCCCATCCTGTTTCCACAGTGGCCAACCAGATGCCTGTAAACAGGATTCAAGCGCAAGAGCCCCCTGTTTCCATCCTGCACCATCCATCAACTGGTATT